CAAATTTCACAATTATTACTAATTTTACTTTGAACAAAACATGATCTATCATATGTAAGACATGCTACAGTTACATCAGTGACATACAATTTTTTGTTTGAAAATTTTTGTTAGATTGTGGGTCAATTTGCATGCTTGTATTAGTGTACTACTTTTTAAAAACTCAGTGACAATTTTTTTTTGTACTAAGGGTGAACAATGTATTAACTCGCTAAGACTGCAAAAATATTTTTCGTGTTTTATGGTTTATAAATTAAATCTCATAAAGTGGTTTTGAAAAATATTTCCCACTGTCTCTTTCTTGGCGATCACTGTAATTTTTTTTTTTTTTTTTGATATTGTATTGCTTTGTTGTTTGATTATTCCGTGTCTTCTCTTTTCTAAATATCTAGTCACAACAGGTTTTCTTCATCCAAAATAGTTCCTTTCAGGCCATTAAAGCCTTCATCTTGATGTCATTTTCCACACATTTCAATTCTTTCATTTTCTATTTTTAGGATGGCAAAAATATTTATTTAAAATGATCATTTTATTATTTTTTCATTCTATGAAAGGAGTTGTATTTTTCAAAAAAATTATATATTCTTTCTTTATTTGGGTTAATGCTCTTGAAATAATTTTTTGGTATTACAGAATAATGTTTAGAAAACCTACCCAGTTCAAAGTGCTTACCCTGGATTTATTATTTCTTCAACATGATAAGAAACATTCTTTCCTTTCCCACATTATTATTATTATTATTTTGGCTATCAGAAACTATCTGGCACATCATTTAATAATACATTGAAGAGAAAAGATTGCTATGCAATATTTTGCTATATTTTGCTATTTTGAAATCCAATGTGATTTTGAGACATAGATTTTTCATAATATACTACAGCTTTAACAATGCATTTAGCACTTCTTGAATTCTGTCACTATTAGAAATTTGAAGTCATCTCCATATTCCTTTTTACAAATATCAAAATTGGGATTATTTTATCTCAGTTTATGAAGTTATGGTATATATAGTTTCTTTTCATAGTCTATCACTTTGGTAAATGTAGCAATTACATTTACATGAGAATCATGATAACTAAGACTTAAACATATATTAATTCTGTTAAGTATTTTTTTCACATTTTCTTTGTGCCTTTTTTAAAGCTCCATTATTAAAACTAGTTTCAACAGAGAATAAATGCTTCAGTCAATAGTTTAGCAAATAATTTAATGACTACCAGATCAAGCAAATAATGATATTTTCTAGGAAATTGTTATTAAGGCATCTCAGATGAGAATTACATATATGCATATACTGAATGCACACCCCTACCTCCCTTAACTAACCTTTTAAACACAGTGTGAGTGAATATACCAGCAAATCTGTTGATACTTTTTTGCTTATATGCAGAGATTTGTTTTCCAATTGCAGATTGCATATCTGTCAAATTCAGACTATTAGTTACAATCATTCATAATCCTTTTAAACTTGAGTTATCAAACTTTTATCAAGAAGTAATTCTTTCTGCTGATTAAACTTTTTCAAGTTTGCAAAGCAGATGTCTTGAATATTAACTATGCCAGAAATAATATTTTCCACGTGTTCTTTTTTCTAAGACTTAATTTTTTTGTGTGTGTTTTTTTTTTTTTTTTATTTCAGCATATTATGCAGGCACAGATGTTTAGGTTATGTATGTTGCCAAGACTTAATTTTTTAATGTCAATTTTATGTCCATAGTAAAATATGAGGAAGATACGCAGATTTTTCATATGCTTCTCTGCTCCCACACATAGCCTCTGCATTATCAACCTTCTCCACCAAACTGGGTACATTTGTTACATTTGATGAACCTGCTTTGACACATCATAATCACCCAAAGTCCATAGTTTACATTAGGGCTCACTCTTGGTGTTTTACATTCAGTGGATTTGGACAAATGTAAAATGACATGTATCCATTATTACAGTATCATACAGAGTATTTTCACTGCCCTAAAAATCCTCTGTGCTCTGCCAATTCATCTTTCCCCCTCTCCTAACCCCTGGCAACCATTGATCTTTATTGTCACCCTGGTTTTGCCTTTCTAGATGTCATATCATTGAAATCATACAGTATGTAGCCTTTTAGACAAACTTCTTTCACTTAGTAATGTTTATTTAGGGTTCCTCTATGTCTTTTGATGGCTTGATAGTTCATTTCGTTTTAGCACTGAATAATATTCCATTGTCTGGATGTATCACAGTTGATTTATTGATTCACCTACTCAAGGACATTTTAGTTGCTTCCAAGTTTTGTCAATCGTGAATAAAGCTGCTATAAACATCCACATGCAGGTTTTGTGTGAATATAAGTTTTCAGATCCTTTGGGTAAACACCAAGGAACACGATTGCTGGATCATATGGTAAGAGTATGTTTAGTTTTGTAAGAAACTGCCAAACTGTCTGTACCATTTTGCATTCCCACCAGCAATGAATGAGGGTTCCTGTTGAATGAGTGTTGCTATTGTTTCACATCTCACCAACATTTGGTGTTGTCAGTGTTCTGGATTTTGACCATTGCAATAGGTGGATAGAAGTATCTCATTGTTGTTTTAATTTGCATTTTCCTGATGACTGAGATTCAGTATCTTTTTGTATGCTTATTTGCCATATGTTTACCTTCTTTGGTGAGGTGTCTCATAAGATATTTGGCCCATTTTTAAATTGGGTTGTTTTTGTTGAGTTTTAAAAGTTCTGTGTATTTTTTGTATAATAGTTCTTTATCAGATGTGTCTTTTGCAAATATTTTCTCAGTATGTGTCTTCTCTTACTCTCCTGACATTGTCTTTTGCAGTTTTTATTTTCATGAAACCAAACTTATTAATTATCTCTTTCATGAATTGTACCTTTGGTGTTGTATCAAAAATTTATCACCATATACAGGTTATCTAGGTTTTCTTCTATGTCATCTTCTAAGAGTTTTATTGTTTTGGATTTTACATTTAGGTCTATGATGCATTTGAGTTAATTTAGTGAAGAGTATAATGTTTGTGTCTAGACTGATTTTTTTGCATGTGGATGTCCAGTTTATCCAGCACCATTTGTTGAAAAGACTACCTTTACTCCATTTTATTGCCTTTGCTCCTTTGTCAGAGATAGGTTGACTATATTTATGTATTTTTTTTTTCTGGACTATTTTATTCCGTTGATTTATTTGTCTATTCCTTGGCCAGTCAATACCACAATGTCTTGATTACTTTAGCTTCATTGTAAGTCTTGAAAAATCAGGTAATGTTAGTCTTCAACTTTGTTCTTCTCTTTCAGTACTGTATTGGCTATTCTGTCTTTTGCCTCTCCATATAAACTTTAGAATCAATTTGCCAATACCTACCAAATAACATGCTGGGATTTATTGGAATTGCACTGAGTCTGTAGATCAAGTTGGGAAGAACTGATCTTGACAATATTGAGTAGTTCTGTATATGGAAAATCTGTCCATTTATTAATATTTAGCTCTTTTTTATTTCATTTATTGGAGTTTTGATGTTTTTCTTATATAGATCTCATACATATTTTGTTAGATTATACCTAAGTATTTCATTGTTGGGGAGTGCTAATGTAAATGGTATTGCAATTTTCATTTCAAATCCAACTTGTTTATTGCTGGTGTATATGACTGACTTTGGAATATTAACCTTGCTATAATCACTTCTTAGTTCCTGGAGGGTTTTTTCCCCCCTGTCAATTCTTTTCATGTTATTTACATAGACAGTCATAGATAATCATGTCATCACAAACAAATCCAGTTTTATTTCTTCCTCCCAATCTGTATATATTTTATTTACTTTTCTTGCTTGTTGCATTAGCTATTACTTCCAATACAGTGTTGAAAACGAGTGGTTAGAGGCAACATCCTTGCTTTTTTCCTGATTTCAGTGGGAAAGATTCAAGTTTCTGACCATTAATTATGCTGTTAGCTATAGGTTTTTGGGTAGATATTCTTTATAAACTTGAAGAAGTTCCCTTCTATTCCTAGTTAACTGAGAGTTTTTGTGATAAATGCTTGTTGGATTTTGTCAATGCTTTTTCTGCATCTATTGATATGATATATGATTTTTCTTTTTTAGCCTGTTGATATGATGGATTACATTAATTGATTTTTGAATGTGGAGCTAGCCTTGCATATACACCCACATGGTGTATCGTTCTTTTTACATATTGTTGGATTCAGTGTGCCATTATTTTATTGAGGATTTTTGTATTCATGTTTATGAGAGATATTGGTCTGTAGTTTTTTTTTTTCTTATAATGTGTTTGTCTAATATTGGTATTATGGTAGTGATGGCCTCATATAATGAGGTTGGAAGTATTCCCTAGGATTCTGTCCTCTGATAGAGATTGTAGAGAATTGGTATAATTTCTTTCTTAAATGTTTGGTAGAATTTACCAGTGAACCCATCTGGGCCTGTTGC